CGCGCGCTCTTATCTGCTCCTCTCCCGCTGTTTCTGCCCGTATACTCGCTGAAAGAATTCAGAAGGCAGAGAGATCCTTCAGTTGTCCATCGTCCCGCGCGAGCTTCCTGGCTTGGGCGCCTCGTGAGCTTCGAGCTTGGACGCGTAGCTGATGGACGGCCGGAGGCAGCGAGCCCGCCCTAGAGGTCTTCCCAAAGAGACGCCCCGCCGTTTTCATCCTGGCAGTGACTATGGCTGTGACAGGATGAGAACAATTGTCAAACATTGAAACGACGTCAGAGTACGACACATTTTGTTTTAACTGCTTTCGAGAAGGTTTGCGAGGACATAGGAACAGAAAACAACTGCATCTACGTATACTGTATGGTCCTATACTTGGGTCTCATTTGGCGTTGTTCTCCTGAGTGGTGGCAACTTATGGTAATGGTATTTCTAAGCCACTAACGCAGTGTTATGACTAGAGTGTCGTGTTCGGTGGAGGAATATTCAACTTTGGGCGTGTTGCCAACTTTACAAAGAAGTAATTCTCATAAAACTCCATTCTTAAGCTTCCATTAACTTTCTTCTTAAACTTCTGCTTGACTTATAAGTTTCCCATTGAAAATGTGAACTCTAGAGCTTTACGTGGCTCGCCTTTTTGGCAGTCTTAAAGTAACTAAGCAGCCTTTGGGGTTACTGCTGGACATAGCGCTGCAACCTATCCTTAGTATGAAAGATTGAGGTAAGAAGGACTAGAGAGCCGTACTCTACAGGAATATGAGCTCTCGCAATAATGGTGAGTTCTACTCGTCGTTTGAATATATTAGTACCGTCTCGGTTACCGAATTTGTATGGGCAGGGCTTTTGTAAATGCTTCATTTTGTTCTTCTTTCGGAGATGGCAATATTCGTATCCAGCGCTGAAAAGCTGGCGGTGGGACACAAACCGCCGTAAATCGCTCCTCACGTTTGAAATGGGCGCCTTAGCGAGCTCCAGACTTTGGGTATTTGTGCTCCACCGTGTCAGATGGCGAGGCGCTATCTCACGCTTATTTTCAACGTTCCCGGTTCTCGTGTCTCGACGCGCGCGTAAACATGACCCCCGTCCCGTCTAAACTTATTAAGTGTTTGTTGAATGACGATTTCCGTGGAATACGTGCGCGGAGACGGCGGCAGCAGCGACAACAACAGGAGCTGTTTTTCGCGAGACGAGGGAGGCCCCACGCGACAGCGATAACAGCGCAAACGCGAATTATGTTACCGAAAGTCAGTGACGGAAACAGGGGGCGGGAGGCCAATAATATTCGATGAGCTCGAAACGTTTGTATCTGAACACAAGAAATTCGAACTTTCAAAGTTTGAAGTTTGAGCACTTGGCAGTGAAACCTCTGTGATGTTTGTACAAACCATGTATTCATTTCGTTTTTTTTTTCCTCCGATTTGCCAGTTAAGGGGATAAGCAGGGGCCCCAAGTGTCGAAACGCATTTACGTCCTCGTGACAACGCGGCGCGGAAAAGAAAATAAATAAAACAACCGAGCCTGTGTTTTTTTTTTTGTTAATGGGCTTTTTAAACTAGCGAGCATCACCGTCATCCTCGGAGGGCTTCGGCCGAAGAACGTCGAAAATAAGCAAAGTTCTGAACGACAGAAACAGGGAACTCTTCCACGGACGTCAGGGTGTCTGGTCTTTTTTAGGGTCATTACTTTACTTCGAGCACCGTCTTCTGTCCAGTCGAGATGCCTTCTATTAGCACTTCTGAATGCGAAAAGCTACGGATTACAAACTTCGACATCCTTCTATTATTGTTTCCAAGAATTCATTCTGAGGGCCTTGGCGAAAAGAGAGGAGACGTCATTAGCTATCACGCCGATATCTTGAGGGGCCTGAATGGCAATGAGCAATTGAATTTGATTCCCGAGATGTGTGATTAGTATTTGTTTTTGTCCGGTGTCCGAGCAGATCAACTCTTGCTTGCCCTTATGGACGTTATCGAATACATCACTCCCTGCGCAGTGCAGACGAAAATGGTAGGGTTTTTGTTATATTGCCTTTAACTTATTTAGTTTTTAGGAAAACGCTTCGTCGCATAACAACCCACGCACAAATGTCGCGTGGCAATCTGAAAAGCTCAAACTTATTTGAGGACCTCAAAGAGATCGTTGTCTAATTGGACTCGGCGACTGCGATGAAAGCTTCTATCGCTCATGACTCACGAGTCAAGGCCGGCGTTCTGCTTTCCTTATGTAAACATCGCGAGTGAGCCTGGTCAACCTGTAGAGCGCCATCTAGCTAGAGCTTGCCTTGCTTCGAGCGCATCTCCACGTGTTGCTGGTGCCCAGCTTATTATATACGGTTTCCTGTTTTCGGGTTTTATTATTCTTCAAATTCGGAGATGTTTTGGCGGGTTTTTTTTTTTTTTTTTTGTCCTGCAGATTGCTGTGTTCTTTGGTAACAAATTTCGGTGTTGGACAAAAAATCAAGTTCATCGGAGATTGTGTTGAAGGGGCGTGGGATGCTCCAGGCTCCGGAAAACGTGACCCGAAAAAAAGAAAGGCCTCCCTGTACCGCCAAGGAAAAGCAACGAGATGTGTTCCACAGTAAAAACCAGCCTCGAGGACGGTTATTTGTGGCCGGTGTTTTCTGTGAAAAGAACATAAACCTTTAGATAAAAGGTTCTTCCCGCAAAGTTCGGGTTTCTTTTATTATTCGAGGACACTTCCAATTTGGTGTTTTTTGGGTTTCCCCAAATTTGATAACACAGGCTCAGGGGTCAATTTTCGTGGTTTATTGGCATTTATCGAAAACATGATAATCTCTAGTCTTAGGTAGCGCGAGGTGGGCACAGAGTTATATAAATATTCCGTAAGCTCCTGCTTTGAAGCGGGAGATGTCGGAACCGTCGCTCAGGAGTAATGACCGCTCTCTACTATTTATGCGTGCGTTGTAACGAAGATCCAGAACGCAATGAGGCGTGCAGTGGGGTTTCATGACTAAATGTCCACGCTAACAATCTACCCTCTTTGTAACCGTACCCCCCCCCCCCCCCCCCCCCCCATTTTTTTTTTTTCACGGGGCCCTTCCTCAGGGGTCTTTCTGGAACCGCCCCTGCCGTTTGCCGAACACGCCGTTAAAGCTCCCGATGTCATTTAGTTTAGCAGGAGTGCACTCCGACCTCTGGAGCGCGCTAGAGCGCCTTAACTTGACGCGCCCACTGTTTTGATATCAACTCCCGCTGACATGAATTCGCCATGAAAGAACGGCCTACTGCATGCTGTCTATACTGGCATAAAGTGCCCCTTACTTCGCTGCACCTTAAGTCCAGACGCAGCTGACGCTACGAACTGACGGGTCCAATCAGACAGCATCGAAAGCGCACCATCATGATCTTCGTAATGTTTCTGTACGAGTCATATTTTTGCTGAACCAATCATAAACAAAGGAGACCCAGTAAGTTGCGCTTTCGACGCTGACTGATTGGTTCCTTGAGCTCGTAGCGTCGGCTGCGTCTGGAGTTAAGCTTAGGCTAAGTGTAACATCAAGGCAGTGGGCGAGCAGTCTTGTTATTTCACACGTGTAATCACAGTTCAGTCTAAGCTAGAAAGCAGAACCCGACTCTCTCCCTCCAATATTACGCCTGTGTTGCCAACCTTAAGGCAGCGACCAAGTTCTGTTTGAAGTGTAGACGTTTTAAACACGCTCCAGATTACAGCCGCCATTGTTGAGCTTCTCTCATCTTACCGAGATGCCGCGCTACTGATAGCCACCTTTACGAGCCCCCCCACAAAGGCCATTGCTGGAGAAAAGGACGCGGTTGAATTGAATATGGCAATGAACGGTCCGGCTGCGGTAACCACGAAGTGAAGTAAGCATAGTACAAGAAAAGCAAAACTCAAGGTCGGTTATGGCGGCGCCCATGCACGGCTGCTTAAAAGCGTCGCTCTTCCGCCTTCTTATTGGCTGGTGCCACAGCCCCGTTGAGTGCGGAGCGATAATAAGCTGCTCGGGAGTAGCCTAGTCCTGCGTCCCTTGAGCTCTCGCTTACTATGGTGGTTCGTTGGTAGGCTATAAGACGCTTCGCCGTAAATGTGACACGTGATGCATTAGGGCTTTATTCATTTTAATCCATTTGAAAGACGAGCGGTATTGTGCCCCAAATGTTCACGTAGCTATAGGTGGCCAAAGAGTGCACATCCCTTTTGCCACCGAGGATGCGCGAGCGAGGGAACATGATATTGGTTGACCTTCTCATTGGCTGAACTGGTTAAGGAAAGGTGTTTTGAAATTTGACGGCGTACTGGGATGATGCATCTAAAAGCTTCTGAACATGTAGAGTGGTACACCGCGACAGCAAGTTCCTCAGCAGGCTGAATCTGTACCTTGTTCGAGCTGGTTTCTACAGAATTTTATTCCAATGCCACCTAACGTTTACTCGATAATGGAGAGTTTCAGTACATCGTCCCGGTACCCTCCGATACCCCCCAGAACGATGCGATGCACGTGCAAGGGCGCTGGCGGAGAGAGTCGTAGGAACATTCTAGCAAAACAGTCTAATATTACCTTTCGAACACCAAGCTCTGAAACTCTAGTGAGCTGATAGCGGAAATTGATAGTCCCCCTATTAGCTCGTCAGTGTTGCCCTTCTTTGTTTTCCACACATCTTGATTTTTCTTTGTCTTAAGCCGTTCTAGAGTCACTGCATAAGGAAGGCAGGGTGTGGCGTTTTATGTTTCTTCCTCGTAATTCGTTCTTTGGCGTTCTTATCGGCCGATGCCCCAATCTGATTGGTTGCGGAGAGAGGATGCTCAGAGCCCCCCCCCCCCCCCCCCCCCCCCCCCCCACCCTGCCGTTTCTTCGACTCTCAGTGACTATAGATCGTAACCTGTGCCACTGCTTTGCGGTCAGTCGCTTCGCCGTTCTTTTCACGGAGGGCATTTCTGAACACGCGAACATCCTGGTGAGCGACAATACTAAACCAGTGGCTTTGCAGTGAAGCGCTACTTGAACAGATTTGTTTTTAAAGGCGGGAGTTCAGACAGCCAGAAATCCGGAGGTGGGGGCGGCGAAGACGACGACAATAAGCCTCAAAAATACTTGCCGCCTTCGGAGGGGGGCGCTCCGTCCGGCAAAGCTACCGCCGAAGCCAGCACGACAAGTTCAAGTCAGAAACTGTCTACCCTAACGACCGTAAGCAAAACAACGACAATGACAAGCGAACAAACCGTCAAAGCACCGACAACTAAACCATCCCCCCCAAAACCGGGAACAACAAAAGAACCGATCAAGACAGCAGAGCCACCAACGACAAGGAAACCAACGACCACTACCACGACGACCACTACAACGACGACCACCACAACGACGACCACTACAACGCCAAAACCGACCTGGAAAACCGGAAAGCCCAGGCCACCGGGTATAACACGTAAGACATTCGCTCTTTATTAACTGCGCCACAAGTTTCGCTGTTTTTGTGTTCCTCGCTTGTACATGTATTACGTGTTGTGGGAAGCTCGTAGACACTCAACCTTCCCTTTCCGACAAAAGGCTTATTATTCTGAGCCTTAATTGTTCACCTACTTTTTGTAGCTATTATTTTTCCGCTATGTTACAGGGGGAGCCTCCGGAGTTGGGTCTGTTGAGGCCTCGCAAGCCTTGCACAGTATGAGCTTCTTAAATACCCGCGGCATTCGACTGCATATAAGGGGCCCGAGAATAAGCGAGATTTGGTTTTCTGCAAGCATAAAGGCTCGTTCACACAGACCCGTTTTCTTACGTTACGTTACGTTGCGTTACATTACAAAAAGTCACCGGGAAATCTGTGCTTCGAATTAAGCGTGGCTACCAATTCAAGGAGATAGCCTGGTAAGCGACATTCGAGACACGAATGTTGCGGTGACTTAGACGTAACGTAAGAAAACGGTGCTGTGTGAAAAGTTGAACCGAGCTCAACTCCTTCCGTTACGTTACGACGAGCCTTGTGTCCTTGGTTGCCACGGTAACTCACCGTCCTAGCTCGTCGTCACCGAAACATTCGTGTCTCAAATGTCGCGTGCCAGGCTATCTACTTGTATTGGTAGCCACGCTTAATACGAAGCACAGATTTCCCGGTGACTTTTCGTAACGTAACGTAAGAAAACGGGTCTGTGTGAACGAGCCTTTACTAGGACGGTACGCGTGCGGGATGGCAGTTGTGGAACGTATTTCTGGCAGACGAAACATGATGGGCTTCGCCATCTTGCAATTTCCCAATTTTTGTTTTAGAGTAATGGAAGGATTCTTGCTAACGCAGCTCCTGCCAGAAAGCCGGGCAAGCTGTTCTGCACTCTCGGTCCAGCCCACGCGATACAAGACTTCCCGCGCGATGGCCAGTGTGATTATCTATTCTACGACTCGCTCCGAGCCAAAAATAAGAAGCTGGAAAGCAACGCCGATGCCCTGAAGGTATTCTCTAAAGGCTCTCAGGGTCTGAAGAAGACAGAGACAGGAGTGGCTCTGACTTGGAGGTGAGACTCGCATCCTGGCTATCGGAAGGAAGTTCGAATATAAGATTGACGCACGCCGACTTCCAAAGTAAACCAGGGATGCAATCTATGCGCTGTCGCTCTCTGCAGGGCTGTGAATAAACAATTAAAGGCGGTTACAACTTTCTGTAACGCCGAATTAGAGCGCAGCTCGTGAGGAGGAGGAGGGGAGGGTACAGAGGGGAGGGTATTCCCCTGTTCCTTCCCCGCTAGATTTAGCGGGAAACGTTTATTATTCTGACGTCACACGGGACGTCGCGTGCGACGTCACACGTGTCGTCAGGTGGGTAAATTTAACGGGAAAATTGGCAATGTTAGCAGCGTGTGACGTGAAGTGACATCACACGTGACGTTATACGTCACATGTTTCTTATAATGACGTCACACGTGACGTCACGTTTGACGTCAGGCGGGTAACCCTCGTGAGGGTAACCCACGAAACCCTCGTGTGGGTAACCCTCGTAATTCCCACAAGGGTAACCCTCGTGACGCGACGTCATTATGGCAAACGGCGCATAATGCAACGCGTGGTTATGCCGCTCCAGCCGGAAACGGGCGGGCGCCTAAAAGCTGCGCTCTAAAAAAAAAAAAAAAACGCTATGAGGAGGCTAAACACTCTGAGAAGGTCTCTCATATGTATACTGCCCAGCGATGCGCATGTGGAACTCGCACAAAAAATGCAAGATTTATGACGCTGAAGAAGGCCATGGAGCTCGGAGTATAATAAGTGCGAACCACTCATGAGGTGCGTGGTTTTAGCTTAGCGCAGTCTGTGCTTTCAGGTCTCAGTCAGCTTTATCAGGCTGGTGTAAATTTTTCATGAAGTAAGCACCTGCACCGCTTAGCTCAGGTACATGGTCTCCCGTTTTGGAAAGAACAAAGAAAGCGCCGCTTAGCTCAGTTAGTGCGATATCACGGGTTCGATTCCCGTTGGGGTGTCCTTGTGAGGGGCGCTCATAAAGTTTGTGACATTGCAATGAAGGATGAGAGCTGCGCTCACGAGCGTCGGTGGTGAGGCTAGTCTATTTCCACATATGAATCACAGAAGGCGACAGACGGACGTGTATATCCTGGTTGTATATCTGTCCTCAATTTGGCCCCGAGGAAGAGTTCCACTTCGACGATCACCTCGTCGTCATTCTGAAACCACTTGCCAGGTGTTGGTTTCTTCGCGAGACGAAGAGTGCAAAAGTCACTGGTTTGAAAGGGCTGGCGAGTACGGGAGCAGAGGCAGAATTTCATAGCCTGAAGCTGCTGCATATGCGCCACCGGTGCCTGCGTTGTGGTGGAGCCCCTGGGCAAATCTCTAAGACGCTTGATGTCCTCCACTAACCTATAGTCGGTGACAGGTTTAGAGGTCAGGAGAAGCTCCTCGCACTTCTCTTAGCAGAAAGAACGCTGGAGAGGAGGTCGCCTCCACTCCCAGCGTTCGCTCGGCTAAAGTAGAAGGAGGAGGGATTTCCCAGAATTCTTGACCGGTCACAGACTCCCGGTCCTGTAATGTCCTGGCGATATTTCCCTGAAGGCTGTTTGGCCTTTACGGACCATATCTGTCAGGAGCACACCATTACAACCTCCCCCTTAACCCCCCCCCCCCCCCCCCCCAAACAACAACAACTGCAGCTCGTTAATTATGAATTTGTTTTCGCGTATTTTTGCAGTGTTTGACCCGCGTACTTAAACGTTCCGCTTTGCTTCTTCGTCTTGGGGTTGCAATGGCACACCTACCACTCATCCATGGCGACCAGACGATCAAAAAACTCGTCAAGGTTAGCTTGGGAACGCTGTACCATTTCCGTTGTAGATTCCTTTCGGCACTATTTCCGCATGTGCTGGAGCGGTAACGGAACCCAACGGGCCGGAATCTTAATGTGCAAATCACTGATCATGTGAAATTGACTGGACATTTTCTGAAAAACTTATTTAACGTGCGGAAACTAGAAACGTCTCATAGTGCAAATTGTTTGTGATATTTGTTTTTCCTTTGCCACCAACAACACGAACTTTAAGAACGACCCTCGTATGTTCGATCTTAATGGGCCATATTGGCTTATATACATTATATACGGGGCTTTAAACTTGGCGCAACGCTGGGTTCCGACTTTGGAACGTGCCGCTGGAACACGTCGGTGTTTTTCATGGAATTCGCCTGACGGTGTTACCTTTTTGAGTAACGTTTTTTTTTTCGTATGTCGAACACAAATTTTGGTCCCATGCAGGAAAACTGTAGCATGCTTTAGGGAGTATGTTTATTTATCAAAGACAAGCTATCTATGGGCTTGAAGTCAATTTATATCTGGATGACTCCGGCCCATATGTTTCTCGAATTATATGTTCGAGGCACGGTACTATGCAAAGAAGCAGCCGGGTCTCGCACCCTTGTGTTACTGTTTTCGAGTGGCCTTAAGCATCACTTTTTTTAACTGGTTCCTTTTGACTTTATTAGTTATTTTTGGATCTCAGTTTTGTCAATTAGGCGTAAAGTTGAACGACATGCGCCTTTCTACAAGGAAGACGCAAACCGAGTCATAAAATTCCCTAAACCAAATTTTCTGCATTCCGTCAACAGGTGTTATTACGATACAAAACACTGCTCTACACGAGTAAATAAGACTGGCAGCCCAGTTGGAGCACGTAGGGAGCAAATCGAAACTGAAACTTACATGGGAGCGCTCACGGGTATACTCGGGCGTGGCATTCGAGGGGTTATTAAATAATTCGCCCACTTTCACCTCACCTTTTGCACCGGACAACTCACCCATCACACCTCCACAACACCACACAAACTTGGCAGCGATCACTACATCATCAGCACGTGTCTTACCCTCAAAGGCGCCTCCACAACCCCCCCCCCCCCCCTTCCACCACCAACACACACAGATTGGGATGTTTTCCGTACCGAATGCCCACTCCCACCCAACACCACCTGCGAATCCGACCTAGAACAATGGACGATCCACCTTCTCTCAGATTGCAACCAAGACTATCGACCCTCCTACTTCAGCGGAATGTGTAGATACCCACCTCCGTAACCTCTGGGAGGCCTACACCAGCCTCGAGCAGCGCTGGCAGAAACATAGACACCGACGCAACCTTCGCCTCAAACTACACACCCTCCAAACTAAAATCGAGACGCACGCACTCACAATAGCCAGGAACAACTGGAGATGCATTTACGACGAAATTCCGGGCCAGATCTCCACTAAGAAGGTTGGGCACATCCTCCGTGCCCTACTCGACCCGCGCACTGCTAAGACCAAATCTCGCCACCAAACCACACAAATTATAGCGGACACAACTCTCACCCACCGCCCTATGCGACACCTTCCGCTCCTAATACATCCCACCTCCCTCATCACACCCTGTTGGTCCTCCACAATACACTGGCAACCCCAACCCACTGCTCGACGCCCCCATCACCTTTGCAGAACTACACGCGGCGGTGCAAGCCATCAAACGCAACATCACACCAGGACATGACAACATCACAAACACCCTATTACGTCACCTCAATGAGGACGTCCTAGAACACCTTGTACAACTCTTCAACCAACATTGGCTTAGCCACACCCTCCCCTCCACCCGGAAACAATCCAACATCACCACCCTCATCCCCAAACCTGGAAAAAAAAAACTCCATACACAACCTTTGCCCTATCTCCCTTACCTCCCGTCTTGGCAAACTTCTCGAACACGTCCTGTAGAATCGCTTCAATGCGCACCTTGAACTCACACAGCACTACCCCCCCCCCCCCCCTTTCAACATGATCGGCTTTCGACCCAACTTATCCTCGCAAGACGCCCTTATACAATATCACCTTGATTTTCACCAACGCCTCTCTCAACAAGATCACACCTCTATACTCTCACTGGGCCTCCAAAAACCCTTGGACAATATCTCACACCATAGCATCCTTCAAGCGATCTCATCCTAAAACCTAGACCTACACTTTTACTACTATATCTATAACTTTCTTGCACAACGTACTGCTACCATCCGTTTGGGCCCATGTCCAGTCTAATCCTTTCCACATGCCAGACGGCGGAACGCCACAAGGAGCGGTCCTCTCACCCATTCTCTTTAACCTTACCCTAATCCCACTTGCCCGCACTCTCCTCACCATCTCCACGCTACGCAGCACACTGTACGCAGATGAAATTGCCCTTTGGGTCCACTCTGGCTCCAACCAACACATTGAAGCAACACTCCATCACGGCCTCAACCAAGTCCTACACCACATCGAACTTTTGGAGCTCCAATGCTCCCCACACAAATCCGCTCTCCTCACCTTTACGCCCCCTTGCCACAAACCCCCCAACCCGCCCCCCCCCCCCTTTTCAACTTTTTATACACTCTGACCCAATACCACACACACAACAAGTTCGACTTTTAGGCCTCACCCTCACACACAACAGATCACCGGACCCACCCTCCAACACGTAAAGAAATGTTACCCAAACCACGGACATCATTAGAAGGATCGCCACCAAACACCACGGCATCAAGGAACAAGACCGCCTCCACAGTTTTCTACTCAACCGTATACTATACCACCTACCGTACCTTAACCTTACACCCACCCAACTCGACTCCCTTGATGCGCTCCTCAGGAAGACATATAGACATTCACTCCTATTCCCCCCTCACGCCCCAACGTACCGCCTGCTTACACAACACAATACGCGAACACTTAGAGCCCGCCACATGTCCCAACTCACTTGCCTCGCATCCTCGCCACAGGGCAGTACATTCTTAACTCTATAAACATACTTCCCCCCCCCCCCCCCCCCCACCATCCCCAATCCCCCACTCCCCATTCCACCAGACATACGTAACCGCATCCAAGTCCACCCAATCTCTCACCACATGCACCCAACATTCCATACAGCCCGGCAACTAGCACGAGCCAACACCCACAATAAACTATACCCACTATCACCATGCACACTACACACTGATGCCACACCCTACCCTCACAAAC